GACAAGTGGGAGACAAATGGGAGACAAGTATAAAATCATGCGGCCAGCGCACTCAGAGCATCGAGAGCTTACTGGGAGACAAGTGGGAGACAAATGGGACACAAGTAAAAAAAACATGCGGCCAGAGCACTCAGAGCATCCAGAGCTTACTGGGAGACAAGTGTGAAATCATGCGGAGCTTACTGGGAGACAAGTGGGAAACAAATGGGACACAAGTATATATTAAATCATGCGGCCAGAGCACTCAGAGCATCCAGAGCTTACTGGGAGACAAGTGGGAGACAAGTGTGAAATCATGCGGCCAGAGCACTCAGAGCATCCAGAGCCTACTCGGAGACAAGTGGGAGACAAGTGGGAGACAAATGGGAGACAAGTGTGAAATCACGCGGCCAAGCACTCAGAGCATCCAGAGCTTACTGGGAGACAAGTGTGAGACAAATGGGAGACAAGCCTGAAATCATGCGGCGAGCATCGAGAGCTTACTGGGAGACAACTGGGAGACAAGTGGGAGACAAATGGGAGACAAATGGGAGACAAGTATAAAATCATGCGGCCAGAGCACTGAGTACTCTGAGTTGAAATGCTCTGAGTGACAGCTCTAGTTGAAATCTGGAGCGGAATGAGGCTGGATTTGAAGCTTTTCAAAGAGCTCGAGATTTGGTGGCAGCTTGCTTGGACGACCCGAAGATGAAGCCACCTAAGCCCTTCATAGTCTTGAAGGATTTTCCTTATTCGCAGAGATCCTCGCAGATCCTCGTTTCGTTTTGAGTCACCGCAAGCTTCTTTCGAGTTGCTTTGCATCGAAATACACTTGCGGATGATCAACGAAGCAATCACACACTCTTACGTCAAGTGTTGCGACCTATAGCAAACACAGGTCAATGTAGTACATGGCTAAGCCAAAGAAGGCAACTGCGTAGGAAGGAAAAAGCCAAGCGCAGTGTCGGTGCTCTGAGGAAATCTTCATTTTGATTGGGTCTGCGCATTCGTGTTTACAAGCGGGGCAACATATGTCACAACCTGGATCCATAAATTTCATGTTTTAGCCCTTGTACGGCGTCCCATTGTAAAGTCAATGAAAAACAGAATTTTAATGCTTTCCATTTGAATCTTGTATGTGCGTCTACATGGTGGACTACAGTTTTCTTCCTCTAGGAAATACTGCTGGCCATATTGTTCGGAGATCTCATTTTTGAACATTGCTCTGTTTGGGGTCTACGCTGGTATAATTTATATTATATTTTTTTTTCGGCATCTCTTTTATTTTTTTATTGGTCACGACGGATGCCGGGCTGGCTAGCGCCCGAAAGTGGCTCCGCGGGTGCCGAAACCGGGTGGGCGGAACCCGGGACTCGTGGGGCCGAGCCGTCCTTTTTTGTTCCCGCTTTGTGTTGCTAATTGATAGCGGCTTAATAGCGATTCCCTTAAGGCACTTGTTTCTAGTAGCGATGCCCTTGTTACTAGTAGCGTTTGCGGAAGAGTCACTTTTTGCCCGTGTCGTTTGTTGAAACTGAGCATTCGGTGTCGTGAGAACGATGTGAGGCCTGCGCTGAGGCGAACATGCCGACTTTCGTGCCGAAGCTCTCTGGCCAGCTGCACCAGAGCAGCTTGAGGACAGGACTTGACATGTTTGTTAGAAGCTCGTCATCACCATTGTTACGAAAAGGATCGAACATGACATGCTTTATATAGAAATCCTCTATGAAATGCTGAAGTCATCAACATCGAACTGCTTCTCTTCAATTTCTTGTTTCAAAGCCTGAAAGTCTTCGTTTCCTCGGTCTTCTTCGTCCAGGATCACCCGCTCGTCACACCGGTCGCCCTCGGAGAAGTACCAGGCAGACGTTGCGGAGACGGTCGTCCATCGTCCAGCGTGGCCTTTTCGTTGTTTTTCCATGTGTTTTCCAAAAGCGGATTGAGGAGGATTCCGAAAAAAGCGTTAGTTTGGCCTGCTTCCTTTGACAGTTTGGGGATGACAAGGGGCATCGTTCTCCCGAAAAAGGGGGTGCTTTGTAAACGGGCCTTGTCTTGAAGCAAATTCGGACAAATAGCACATCTTTGAGCATGCGCCAGAGGTGGCAATGCAAGGCAGAGTTGTTCACAAGCCTTGGCAAGAAACGTTGAGAACAGCATATTATATGATATGGGCCTGGGTGTTTTCTGCTCGTGTTTCCTCCTGTTTTGACCGGCCAACGTCCGGCCAACGCGCAACTGGTGAAACATGTCATGTTTGACACTCAGGTGGGTGCAAGTGCCGTGGTCGCAGCTCTTGATCTCCTCTATGGAGAACACTTGCTGCGCTCGGGAGCGCAGACCGGAGGGACGGGAGACGGAGACTCGTGGAGACGGCGGAGGGCGATTTGGGCCACCCGAAGCTTCGACCTCGTTGGACCTGGTGAGATTGAACAACTCCCACAGAGGGTGCCGATGCTCAGCTCAGTGTTTGGATGCCCACTCCGGTACGAGGTACTCAGTACTGGGGGCGTTTCGACTGATCTCACTCGGTCAGGTCACCAACTGACCCGTGCGTTTGATCGCTACCGGGGTATGGCTGCTTTGGCCGCCCTACGATGCTTCCGGGGAGGCAGGAGCTGGGCTAGGGCTGGGCTACGGCTATGAAGGGATCTCTTTCAGGGGCGGCCAACAGGGCTCTCAGTCTTCTTTCTTCGATGTTCCTTAGGCCACTGGGCTTCTCAAACAACGAACTCGCCAGCGGCGCCTTGGTAGGACGCAGCTCTTCCTTGGAGATGCTTCCGGGCTTTGGAGGGCCCTTGGACGCCGAGGCGCGAGCACAAAATGGATGAAGAGACCTGAATCTGTTTGAAGAAGTTCTATAGTAGATATGATATAGTATTAGAACTAGGAGAGAGGCCCAGGCTGATTTTAAGGTGAAGTTGGGCTGTGTGAGGGCCCTCAGCAGGTTGCTGAGGCATGGAGTTGGGCTTCTGTGGAAGCCCAAAAGCATCAACATGTAAACTTTGCTCTTAGCAACGAGGCATGTTTTTCCAAGAAACATTTTATGGTATTGCTGGTGTTTTGGGCTGCGTAACTCACTAAATTTACTAGATAAGGAATCATTTTGTTTGGGTAACAAATGGTCAGTTTAAAGGGTACGGGGAGGCGCAGTGCTGTATGATAAGAGATGACTCATACCGATACCCAAGTCTTTCTTCAAGATGAACTTATGAGACATTCCCCGCCAGGTGGTTCTGCCTCTGCTTTTCGTCACTTCGTCCTTTCCAAGAACACTCAAGCTGTGTTTGAAGTGGACGCCTCCGTCGATGCCGGACCTGCCGTCCGGTCCAGTTATGGACCTCTAGGCGATGTCTCAACTGGACCTCCTGAGGCCGGTCGAACGGTGCAGATGTGGAGAAGGCTTTTAAGACACGTTTGAGTCAAGAGAGTCATGAAAAGGACGAAAGGTCTAAAGAAGAAGGGTGGAAAACAAGTAATATAAGGTTTCAAGAAAACAACAAGTGAGAGATCAAGCAAAGTAACTGTAGGAGTAAATTAGTTAAAGACATTGCTCCCCAAAACGCCACACCCTCGTTGTCCCACGTGAGATTTCAGTTTCATCCTGCAAGGCTTGATGCTCCTTGGCTCTCGCAGGCCGGGAGTCGGGTTCACGTGCGTGCTGTTCCGTTGGCTTTGTCCGATGTTCCCAGCGACGTCCGATGTTCCGGTGATCATCCGTGGGGCACCGGTGGACGTCGCTGGGGGGTTTCTCCGAGTTTCCCTCCAGGCGCGCTACCTGGCACGTCGGGCTGGTCCTTTGGTGGCCGGTGCTAAGCCTGCAGCGAAAGGCGACTGGACTCTCCCGGACTCGGAAAAAGACAGCCAAGCGATGTGTTGCAGAACAGATCTTGGTCAAACGAAACATTTCTCGTTTTTGCCCCAAGGTTTCAGTCCTTTCATTCTTTACTGTATTTTGTGGTTTCATTGCACCTGCCCCCCCATCTCTCTCCCACTCCCCCCAGTCTTTTTCGACATGAAGGCTTGACATCCTGGACTGCTGAGCCATCTCTTTCGCGAGGGCGGACCCAAGGCTATCAACGAGGCGCACGGGCTCAAAGAACAAGACCCATATTTGGTTCTCGCCAAAACGTTGTTCTTCTTGCTTCCAATGGGCATCTTTTTTCCCTCAACGACTACAAGGTACAGCATGAGTCTCGATATGAGACCCTCTTGGAGTGAAAAAATGGCCGGGCTGTGCTTGGAGCATCGCACCGGCGGGGGTGTGACCCTAGAACACCGGACTACCGGACCCCTCTTGCACGAAGACCTTGTGTGTGATCCGTGTGGAAGCTACCTGTGTCCCGCCTAGGTGGGAAGGAACTGCACGGTGCCATTTTGGTGAGGCTTTCAGGGCCACCGGGCACCCGAAAGAAATGGAAGGCACCTTGTTGCACCCTTTTGTGGTTCACGTTTGGTGAGGCAGCCCTGATACAGAGCTGCTGCATGTCTCCAAGCCGCAAGAGTTTCGTCTCGATCGTCGTCGTAGTCCAACGACACAGTCGTGTGTTTGCTGGGCCCAGAGAGGTGAGCCGCGCTGCATGTTTCCATGCCTGCAGTTTCTAGCCAGATCTTGCTTGACTGAGGCAGTGTTAGCTGAACATGATCGCTCAACACATGCTGAGCGACAAGCCTTGGTGAAAGTGCTTCAACAGCTGGTTGGAAAAGAGTCAAAAGTGCTGGGTTCAAAAGTCACGAGTCAAGCTGGTGGATGTGATCCAAGTATACATACATATAACCATATATATATACAATTATATGTATATATCCAAGTAAGATGCATTGACGTTGCAGGGTGAATGCCGGAGTGTTGGTGTTTCCCTTGGAGTCTCTTGAACCACCGGCACCCGACACCCCGTCGCCCCGACACCCGTCGCTGCGCCGAGTTTTTCACTGTGCCAACGTCGGTTTGGTTCGACAGCTGTTTGTGGGAGCGATTCCGCTGGTGTCGTTCTGTGCCTAAAATGGCCGGAGCCCCAGGTGTTGGTGTCGTTCGACCCACCAAAGGACTACAAAACGCTGGTGTTGTGGACGCGAACGCACCACGTCATGAGGCCCATCGACTGGACACAAAAGGCAGGGCTTAGCAAAAAAACCTCGGATGAGTTGCTTAGCAAGGTTTCGTGTTGGTTTGCCCTTTCGAAACAGAGGGAGCTTAGCTTTTCCAGTCAAACAAGCCTTTCAACATGTGTGAGCCAAGGGTGTGGATTGCCCATATCACATATGTCATCAACCAGCTCATCTCACGTCCTTTGGGGGCGAAACCCACGGCGTTTCTCCGTCGTTCCAGGCAGCTCCCTCGAAGAGGCGAAAGCGCGCGCCGCCCGGGGGCCCGAAGGCGAAGGGGGTCTCCGCAGGTCGCGACTGAAGGCGTCCGGAGGGGATCGGAACAGCTCCAATGTCGGATCCTTATAGAACGATCCATATAGAATGTCGGATCCATCATTGTCGACATGTCTCGATTTTGAGGGGGGAAGAAGAGCCAAAGGATTTCCGACCTCTCAGTTGATTTCTTAAACCAAATGGAGATGGAGATGGACGGGAGGCTTATTAAAGAACTTCGATGGTTTATTTCAATGTCAAGACGATGAAGACGATGGCCGTCGGGCTGTGCGCAGTCGATGTCTGAGGCGCAGCGTGCCACCCATCGTGCAGCTGCAGAGGTGGAAGGACAGCGTGCCGCGGGGCAGCTGGCAGCTCGGGCCAAAGGCGATCCCGCCTGTCGCGCTGTCGCGGTGGCCGAGCTGGGCGTTTTCGGGTGGCGTCCTGGTGCGTGGCACGGTACCGGACACGGCACCGGGCGTTTGGGAGGCCCATTGCCTCAGAGCTCTTCAGATCTGCAGACGGAGACCACAGGCGGATGGCTGAGACCCCGCGTGAAGAAAAACGAGTTTCTGGGCGGCCAAACCCTGCATGTCGTTGGATGCGGCCGCTGGTCCATGCTTGTCCTGGGCCTCCAAATCTAGCACCTAGGATTTTAGATGAAGCTTGCTAAGTCAATCCTATCAGTGAATGAGAGCAACGAAGCAACAACATGCAATAGTATAACCCATTAGTCCGCTCAAAACGTTGCCAGTTCTTCCTTGTGGGCGGGTCTTGTCGGCAGCCTCTCAAAACACCGTCCGCGGCCGAGCGAACCGCGCGAGCACTCGCACTCGCACGCAGGCCACTTGTTGGCGACGTTGCAGATGAAGCTGAAGGAGCTGGACGAAGAAGTCAAGGCACGACCTGTTGGTCTTTGACTCCGCTGGACCCGGCGGGGGGCGGGCTGGGGTGCGCCGGAGGCGGATGAAAGAGGTGCAGAGGAGCTGAGGCGACATTTACAACGTCTACAGCAGGAGTGGGGGGGATTGTCATATTGTCTTTGTGGCTGCACTTTGTGTGGGTTGTTCAAAGAAATAGGAGGGTATTAGGAGGTTATAGGCTATAGGAGGTTGAAACTTAAAACTGAAGTCGAACTCAAAGCTGTTCTTGTTGCAATCTGCATGGAGGCTGTTGACCCGGCCGACTTGTTTCATTCTTTGTTGAACTCCCAAGATTTCAGCCGGTTCAGCTCTCCTGCCGACTCGTCGACTTCTCTCCAGGAGCATACAGAGCTCAAGAAGGACAGGTGGACCCGGTCGTCCGACTGAGGAATAAAGAAAAGGTCGACCCGGTCGTCCGACCGAGACACGTCTCACAGGAAAATGCTGACCTTTTTAAAACCACGAGGTAACAGTGAGTCGGTTGGGCTTTTTTGGAACTTTCTTCTGCTGGAACCCCGCGTTCGTGAACGCGAAGGTCCAAAACGGATCCGCAATTCCGCGATCCGGATGCGGAGGAGAGAGATCGGGCAGCTGCCTTAGTGGAGGGCTATGAGGCAAGTCAAGGGTTCTGGGACGAGCCGTTGGGTCGTTGGGTCGTTGATTCCACCGGGTCGTTGTGGCGAAACCAATCGGTGTTTGGTGCGAAACCTTTGGTCCCTTCAGAACCGACGGTGTGGAAGGGTGTGGAAGGCCAGGGGTGAGAGCGAATGAAAGGGCTTGACATTCTGAGTTTGACATTGAACCTCATGGATGTCTAATTAGCAGGCATCAAGCTGTATTTTTGAAGATCAGCACAGTCCTGCCAGGCTGGATCAGTGACCTTCGACAAGGAGAGACATGATCTAACAAAGGAAAACGAGCCTCCACACCAGCCACTGACCACCCAACTGTCCAAACAACCACTGACCACCCACTGATTTCTTCTGTCCTTTGCTCTCCTCGTTGGTTTGATAGCTGCGTTTCCACTGCAGGAGTATAGCAAGCTGATGGACAACTCAGACGAAACCTACAAGATGGCACATGCCTCAGACTCGAGGTTTCGCCGTGTCTCGTCTACTACAGTTGGCCCCTTTAAAAGCCCCTACAAGCCTTCGGTTGGCTTTTGCTTGACCTGCTAGATCTCTAGATGATCCTAGACATTCCGAAGGACTCCTTTTGGTTTTTCCATACCGATGTGAAGCGGTCGCTGCTTTTTCGCATCGCGTGGCAGATTCTCCGTCGGGGCAGGTGCGTAGCAAACACAAGGAGGCCATGGGAATTCTGTTGGGGGGCCCCAGCAGAGGTCCAGCGGGTGCTCCGGTCCATCATTTGGCCAAGTCGCCGTCGCTGCCAAGGCAAAAAGAAGACACCTTTGCTTATCACCCTGCCTACAAAAGGCCAACGGACAAGTGTGGGAACTCAGGGCTTGTGAACAACTCTCAGGTGCTACACACAATCTCTGCCGGCCCAAAAAGTGCTCTACACCAGCTGCTCTGCTCACTCTGCTCTGAAGTCTAGGTTCGAAGCTGCATACTTCACTCCAGTGCCTCTCAAGAAGGCGGAGGAGCGGACGTTCGTTTCTTCCCTCTTGGCGGACGTTTCTTCCGTTCCGTCGGGAACGGACGGTAGGGAACGGTTGGTCGCTCGGTGCCACGGTAGGAACGAATTCGAACAATCAGATCGACTTGCTTCACAACAGTTGCGGTGCGGTGCGCAGGAGAAGAAGAGCCCAGCCCAGCTGAAGGTAGAGCGAATGAGAAAGCAAGGTACCCTCTCACAGGCAGGCTGGCATGGTTGGGGCTGAGTCTTGCGGCACCAAAGGATGAGCTACGCAGACCCTTTCACTTTGGACATTTTGCAGTTTTCTTGAGAAGTACATGGTATATATGCTTGATATTCAGGATGAGATATTCACATCTGGATTTGGTGATATTCCCCATCTATCCCAATCGACTGCTGTTCGGGCAGTTAGTCCGTCCGGACCTGTTCACGAATGACCGCGCAATCGACACCTGTGCAGGTGGGTGCAAGTGGGGCTGCCTCCAGCGTTCACCCGTGCAAGCTTTTGAGCTGTGCAAGTGGGATGGAGAGTGCTGTGGGCCGCCAGAGGTAGAGGAGTTTTGAAGAGGAGTTTTGTAAGAGACCACTTTTGCATACTGTAAAGCTCTTCCAGTCTCAATCTATATAGTATGTATGGCGGCTTAAACTTAAGCTCAAACCTTGGTGCATGCTTTTGGTACTGTAGAGAGCCTCATGCTGACAGAACGTCATGATTGCCAGGGCTAGCGGCCAATTGAGCAGCCTCTGTGGGCAAAACCTCGCGGGCGGACGCGAAGAGGTGTTTTTCAAAGGGACGACACCAGGTCGCTACCCGATGTCCCGCCAGATGCCAAGATCCCACTCGGTTGAGAACCAGATGTGCCCCCCTTATCACATACTGTATAAGGTGTGCAGCCCAAAGAAAAGGTGTACATTGGGAGCACCATGCTGAGGATCTGCAAAGCAGATGTGCTTAGCTTAACATGCTGGGAACAGTAGACTAGTTCATATGAGAGACCAACTGACCCAACAACATTCGTTATGACAACTTTCAGCATTGTTTTGTCTCAGTAGTTTTCAACCATGGACTCTGAAGCTTTGTTGCATGCTTCCCAGGATGTTTGGCTGTTTATCTCTCGGTGATCTGCCAAGCAGACGACTGGAAAAGGAAGGTGTTTTACATTTTTGATTTGAGCTCAAACACTTGTCCTTGCAGTTCCAACACCGTGCTTCTGGCTGACAGCACAAAGCTTTTGAAATGGATCTTTTGGACTACAGCTTGGCGGTTTTAGACATAGTCAATTTTCATTTCCCCTTCATTCTGGCGCTCCCGAAGACATCATTATTTTTTTCTTTTGTTGTGTTTCAAGACTTCTTTTTATTTTGATATCATTTCGTTTTTATTTCTGTTTCATGTTCCTTCCATTTCCTCGTCAACTAAGGCTCCTCGCTAGCAACCCGACCCCAGTCTGCAAAAAGACTCGCATTGTCCATGTTGCTTTCATGATATTACTGTAATATCACTCACTATGTCATATATCATATTGTTCTAAATATGTTTTTTTTTTTTTTTTTTAAATATAGATATTATATTGTTCTATACCACATTTCTTGATTCAGATATCTATATTTTTCTTATGATTTTGTTTTCATGTTTTTTTCATTGTGTTGGTCATGCTGCTTTCATTTTCTTATAATTTTCATGTTCTTTGTTTTCAATTGTTTTATCAAAGGTTCAAGATATGAAGACAACATCAAGTTCAACAGTTCAACACATATGAGAACATGAAGAACAAAGGATGATGGAATGAACATACGCTTCTTGCAATTTCCAACCTGTAGCAGCAAAAGATTGTTCTGAATCTAAATCAGCGTGGCTGGCACATGAAGCCTAGATGGCTTGGTGACCAGCCTTCTTCTCGACACGTGAAGTGGATGTGCTCTAAAGTGGGAATACCCGCAACAAACAGGTTGATTCTTTGTTGTTTGTTCCTCTCAGGTGATGTTGATCTTGGCAAACACAGATGCCTTTTCCTTGCAGCTCTCCACTCAAGTATCATTCCAAAGAAGTGGCCGGTGGATCAGGATGGTCTAAAAACCACAATATGCAAAGACCCCATGTATAGGAATTCCTTAGTTTTGTTTTTCAGGAGACAGACACGACGATTTCCCACCAAGTGGATGTTCCAATCACCCTCACGGTGCATACCAGAACATCCACTTGGCGAGAACCCGAAAGAACTTGCATGAGTTTTTTAGTATAGGAAAGCTTTATGATAGCGATGCTGTGACAGAAGAATAGACACCCTCAAGCACCCTGGAAATGAACACACACCGACCATGCGGTTTGCTGCGAAGGTTTCAAGACGCATCACATGTAATTCATAGCCATGGCGAAACTGTTTGAAGAAGTCTTTCAACCAGGAGGACTGCGGGAAATTTGCAGCCAGCAACAGGAATTGTCTTGACCCGAAACAAACCCTACAGATCACTGCAATACAACGTTCCTTGCGCAACTGGCCTGGCCTACCTACTGTGACCATTGCAGAAAAAGAGCCTTCAATACAGGGATCTCCCAAACATGGCTAAACGCTTGAGGTTGGTCAGGTCCATCGGGTTTTTGTTCCGGACCTCCCAAGGATCCTTTGGAAGCAACATATGTAGACTAGTCTCATTCTGACCCAGAACCAAGTCCCCCTAAACCCTTGTAGCTTCGACAGGACGTTTCGGCTGTTGGGCCGCGAACGACGCACTCGTCTCGTCTCCAGGCTCTGGAGACATCCTCTTAGTGATTACCGATCCCCGAGATCCCATGGGAGCCGAAGGCGGTGACGGCGGGTTTCGGCCTTCGTTTCGGGTTTCGTGGGGAGAGCAGTGCGGAAAAATCAGTGCGCCCCCGGCGCTGGGCCCCGGCAAGGTCGATGCGAAACAGGATCGGAAACTCGTTTTGCTTCGTGTTGCGGTTTGATCTTGTGAGTCTTTTCTTTCAGTACACAGAGTGATGGATAGGATTTGATTCTCTCCCCAGCATTCTAGAGTCTTTTTTCTTCGTGCTTTGATGATACCAGTCATGGGACCCAAGAGCAGTAGATCGAAAACGCTATTGTTCGGAGCCTCACACACTACCTCTCTCATTTGAACTTCTTCAACTCGCTCAGATGCCCTCCGCCTTTGCTGCCACTCCTTGATCCTGACGCGGGAGAGCCCAAAGTGTGTCACAGGCAGAAGGAGTGAAGAAGTATAGGCAGTTGGAACCCCTCCTCAGACAATGTCATCAAACTGGGCCCTAGCATGGAAGGAAGATCGCAGGTCACCCGGTTGGATCCTTGTATTTTTATGGCATTCGACTCGGCCTTCTCTCCTTGTGACTCCTGCCTTTTCTCCCTAACACACCGAGCAGCTTTCCTCTTGGAAGGGGTGTGTTTCACAGCACAGCACCGTTCGGTGCTGAGGCAGCATCCCTACTTCTACAAGATGCTCAGTCGGGGCACTCGGCCACCCAGGACCGTCCGCTGGACGCGTCGCACCGCGTCGCACGCGGGCGGCGGTCGTGCTTTGGTCGGTCGGTCGCCTGAGGCTCTGAGACTCCACTGAGAGAGGGCATCAATCGAGAGGTGGGTCGCACCACTGGGTCGCCGGACGTAGGACTCCGTATGACTGGACATGTTGTGCTCCATTTTGCATCCTCTTTTCGATCTGCTTCGATCCTGCCACTACAAACGGCCTGTCCGCTCACTCGCATCGTATTCCGCAACGAGAGACGCGTCGACCCGTCGGCCCGTCCGAGCCACACAGCCCGTAGGCGCTGATCTCCGAGCCACGCACAGAGGCCGCTCCTGTCAGCGTTTGAGTTCTACCTGTGGATGTGTGAGGTCAGCCACATTGACAGTCAAGGGTGGGTCGGGTCACCTTTGGATGTGACCGACGTGGTGAACTGAAGAACAAGGTGCTGAAACTGAAGCTCTTGTAAGAAGATAGCACCAGAAATACTGTAACATACTGTTACTGTTGTACTTCACTGGATGAACAACTGAGAAGGAAGCGATTCCTACGTCATTCTTTTGCGCTCAGTTTGTAGAGCTTCTTCGCTTCATCTACACGTCAAGCCGGCGAGTTTTGTCGGGTTGTCACGTCAAGCAGGTTAGCAGGTTCGTCGGCTGAGACATTCTTCAGCATTGGAATAGTCGTCATATTCAGCACATTGAATCAATTTGAATCATCTACCGCATCATTCCGGGAATCATGCGTGGCATGTCTCCTTGCCGGGCATTGGAGATGGCGGGCATTGGAGACGGTGTTTTTTTGACTCCAAAGGGCTTTGAACTGCAGTCGGCCGAGTCAACCGTGTAATCTTTCTTAGCCGAGTCGACCGTGTAATCTTTCTTACCCGAGTCGACTGAGAGACAGTTGCTATCGTTGGAAAACTACTACTATCCTCGTTGGAACTGTGCCCCTTTTTCTTGTTTGTTTGGGTTGTTCCTTCTTTTTGGCACAATAACGCTTGCACAGTTGTAGAAAACAACTGAGCAACCAGATTCGCACCTCATGGCCGGCCTTATGGCCCCTCTTCCTGAAGCGAACCAGGAACCAAGTCGACATCAACGAGCACACAGTTGTTGGCCGGGCACCCGTTGCGACTGCACCGACCGTCGCACCGCATTGCCACCGTCTTCCCATGTCTTCGAGGCTTGTTGACCTTGGCAGACAAGTGGCTGCGCTCAGAACGGGGATGTTTTTTCTGGGGGTGGTCACCGGGTGGTCACAAGTTTTCCATCCCTGTGTGCAATTTCACTAGGAAATGGGTGGCCTTGAGGCCACTAGAAGATAGTATTTCTTCTAGTCTACCCTGTTTCTTTTTTTTCCAAAACAACTCATTTTCTATGAGCTGAAGTGTGAAGATCGCTTATATAAAAGGCCTTCCAGAACCACCCATTTTCTACAGTGATGCTATGATCTTCCAGGCAGGGGGGGGCATGAACGGCATTTTCTAGTGAGATTTTCTGAAAACTCACAAAGCTTGGTGAGCAAGGCGATGCACTTGTTCCTAGTGGCGAACATTGTTACTACTAGTAAGGCACTTGTTACTACTACCGAGGCACTTGTTACTAGTAGATTGCTGCGTTTGCCATTTATTGAATGGGTGGACCCGACCCCGCCCAGATTTACTTGCAATCTTAGGGGCCCAACCTCCAAGTAACATGTTTCATTGATTCCCATGAGCCCACTAGTAAATGGAAGACATGACCCTCAAGGTAATATTGTCAGATTTTGCAAAGGAGCTTGTGTCAGGCATTTTCTAGTGGCAGTTTTTGGATGTCCAAATTTTCATGCTTATTTTTTCAATCTGTAGCCCACCAGTTTCTAGCTGGATGTCCACCCATTCTCCAGTGCTCAATTCCACTTTGTTTCTGTGCTAGAAAATCATTTTCTAGACAATGAAAGTTTTCCACATTTGGGAATGCATGTATCCTCTTTGTTTCCTTGTGTTTCCAATGTCTTGGTTGTGCATTTTTTTTTCTCCATGTTAAGCTATATATAATTTGGTGCAGTCCAAAAATGGACGCAAGCATCAGGCCAAAGGCCAAATTGAAACGATGCGCTTTGAAGAGCTCAAGATTCCAACATGGCTGTTGGTAAGAACAATTATATATATAGAGCAAAGCTGGCTGGAAAACATGTCACTTTGACACATTTGCCCAGGTACTGCATTGATGAAGTTGTCAACCTGTGCCTCAAGTATGTCAAGGTGGGGCAGAACAGGTTTAGGGCCTTGTGATGCAGATAAAGCGGACCGAATCACAGGGCATGCTTAGCATCACCAACCTCCATGGACATGCGAAACAGTACCTTTCTCAAGACTTTGATGGCACAGGACAACTTCGATGCAGCCACTGGGTTGCAACTAACAACGCGTTTGGAGTTGCTCTAATGGTCGTTTTCGATGTTTTTTTGAAGATCTTTTTTTGAGTGCTTGTGACCAAGGACATGTTCTTCACCTTCTATGACATCACCACGCTCAACTCCACCTACCAAGCAAAATTGAAGGCCTGAGAGGTTTATGATATGGATGATTCATTTGAGCTTGAGATGAACACTGACCACGCTTCATCCCGACGCTGCATTATTGATGCGCTGTAAACGGTCAAACAGTTGTTTGTGCGAACATTCCAAAATTGTCCAAGTGGAGTTCAATGAAGAGTAGCAGGAGGGAATCTAATCGGAATAGATGTGAAATGATGTGAAGAACTGAAGCAGCTGCCGGGTTGCATGCCATCCAGATATTGTGACATGACCTTCGCAGCTTGCAGCTTCGCCGCCTTTTGGGCTCTCTCAGAAACCTCCCCTCCTGCGTGGCGTATCGCCTCCGGCGGAAGGGAAGGAAGTCATGGAGAGTGTTCCACAATTTGAGGCCGCTGGTGAAGCCACGAAGCGACGCACGCTTCGGTTGGAGATGAGAGGTGTAGACCCTCAACGGATCTTTTGGGGTAGACTATTCTAATAGCTTCTTGTTACTACTAGTAAGGCACTTGTTACTAGTAGTAAGGCACTTGTTTCTACTAGCGTGGCACTTGTTACTAGTAGCTTCGATAGCTCTGCAAAAAAGTTCTCACTCGAGAGGTGTAGATTCTTCGAGCCCGTTTTGAAGTACCTAGTGACTCCTAGTGCCTCGACATTAAGAGACACAACTTGTATCTGCCGAAGAAAAACAGCTGCACAGCGGTATCTGCCAGCGTCACGTTGAGTGGGCCCGCCGCGCCGTCGCGACGACACGACCAGGGTGGCGGGCCCATGGTCCTTGTGCCAACCTCAGTGACGACGACGGACCGTTCGCTCTCAGACCGATGCACCGAGAAGACCAAGGGGCCAGGTGAGACCAAGCGAACATGCTGTCACGGTAGCGAACAAGTATTGGCGAGGCCAGAAGGACACAGAGTGGTACTAGTGACTAAGTGGAAGAGGGTGTGGCACAAGCAGAAGAGTGGTGATTCTAATCCCAAATGATCCGAGTGGTGATTCTCTTTGTTTTGCTGGCGCAATCAGTGTCCACAATTTTCAGTACACCGGTGACACCGACGACACTGGTTAGACCAGTTGCACTGGACGCTGGCCACAGAAGCGTAATAACCAGCGCAACCAGCGTAATCAGCACGACCACAGCCACCCTGGTAGGTGCCAGTATACCAGCGTACCAGCGCATGATCGTTCACGGACACATTTTGCCATGTCGCCCCCCCATTTTGAGTTGTGGAGCCATGTTGTCCTCGAAATGTGAATACCACACCACTTTGATCCAGCCTCCTGGTTGGTTGGTGCCTCGATGAAGCTTTGCGGTGTGGCCTGACGAGGTCCGAAACACCTTTTTGGACATTGAGGAGAGGCCTGAGGCGGGTTGGATCAGATCTCGAAAGAATTTCTTAAGCACCAGTCATCCAACTTTGATGTGAACCTGAAAACTTCAAAGACTGCTTTCCGTAAGACCTCTTCTCAAAAATTGCCTAGCGACCGCCTTAGACGACGGTTTTAGTTTCTATTCTATACGTCGGTTTCAAGGAGACCATGGAAAAAGGACAGATCTACGAAGCTTTGTGAGGTGGATCCCCAAAATATCGATCGGATGGGGGCCCGTGACATCCCTGCGACCCTTGTTCGGTCTGAACTTCAGACATCCTCATGTCTCCAGTCCTGCAGAGTCGCCCCGAGGCCTGTGACATCGTCCGCTCTAAGACGGCGCCCCCCGGAAGTGCGGCTGCCTGGGCCCGGGGCGCCCAGCGGTCGTGAGAGACGGTGGGGCGGGGTGCTGAGTGCTGAGTGCTTTGGGGAAAGCGCGACAGTTCACTTGGAAAGGAAAGGAACTTAGGGAACTTAGGTGAAGACAATCATCTATATCCTTTGGGAAAGGAAGACAGTTAAAGTGATATCTCTTGGCCACCCAAAGAATATAGGGGCCTACCCCCAAACGAACCGCGCAGTCCACCACCCTTCAGGTACACCACCAGATCGATGGCCGTCCACGGGAGTGCCTCGCGTCCGCCTGAGGACTTAGATGACTCCGATGAAGAGGAGGTGCTCGGTGAACGGGTGGCCACCCCTGCGGTGCCATCTCCCATGGAGCCTGGTGGTCTGAAAAGGGAGGAATGCAGAGCACAGGGTTCCTTGTTTTTTGAACAAGTAATAGAGAACCGGATAAAGCTGGTGTCCTTCATCGTTACGTTTGAATTCCTGATGGGGGCTTTTCATGAAGACGTAATGATGCTGCTACTGTTGCTACTGTTGACTGCTTCCCTGTCTCAGAGAATCAATTTCCTTTCTTGTCCAGGAAGAGGACGAGCAGCCCACTGCTGATGCACTGGACCCAGCTTCTTGAGGGAGGACATGCACAGCACTGTTTCGTTCGTTGACTTCTGATTGGTTTCTTTGATCCATCGATCCCTCGATCATCCTTTTTGTCTTCAGATTTTCCACCCACCAGATTTCCTCCTTTTTTTTCGCTGAAGACGAACCACAACGGTGGCAAGACCATCGTGGCCGTGGAAAGATGAAAGACCCAGAAAGACCCACGGCAACGACTTCAGGCCGAGGCTTCATCTCCGACGTCTCCTGATGGAGAGGAGTTGGAGAAGGAAGATGGAGCCCTCTGCAGAACTGCTGCTTAGCGGCAAAAAGCAAAAAGCTGGACTTGGGAGTCGAGTCGAGCAGCACAGTTCACGTGTCTCGGTGGTAGAAACGCTACAGGCTACTGTTGTCAGCTTGGAAACTGGCGCTTCGTTCGAAGACGACACGTGGCCTTTGAGGTCACGCACGAATGCTTGGAGGACACGGTGGAATGCGTTCCGATGTGTTGGGATTGAGCGAGATAAATGCGTATATATATATATATATGTGTAAATAGACATGTTGCAAAACCATGTAGTACATGTACATATACATGTTGGCTATATACATTGTCATATGTGGTAATGGGAGTTAAGGTCATGGGATTCCAACTGAACCGACCGTGAAAGGAACCCGTGCAATGGGGATGGGTACCTCAAGATGCAGGCGTGATATGGGAAGAGCGACATTCGTTGTGCTGGGATTGGATCTTCCAAGATCGGATCTTGAAACAGAAAGCGGACTTCTTGCCAATCTTCGTGCCAATCATCTACTGCAAGAGCTTCAAAGGTGAAGACTTAACTTGACATCATCTTTGCTCAGCTAAGACTTGACTACACTGCGAAGTTGCGCCAGTGAAGATCTTGACTTTTGCGTTTGGACTCTCAGAGCTGTTCGGTTTTGCAAAACACTGAATGCGGGATATTTCCCGCATATTGCAGACGCTAGGCAACGTGCAGACGGTTGGAGAGCAGGTGGGGCGGTTTCCGTTTGTGGAGGATAGCAAATTCATATGAGAGGAGATCGGGCCTTGTGTGTTTGAGTGGATAGGCCTGGCACGTCAGGTCTCACTACGCTCATGTCTGCCCCAGGCATCGGAAGCCACCGCTTCAGCAGGTCCGCACGAGCCGCAGGATGTCGGGCAATGGTGGACTGAAGATGGTGGGCCTCAGTGTCTCGTTGGTTTTGGTATTTTCTAAAACTCCAACCCAATAGCTATGGCCTCCAACATAATAGGGATGGCCTCCAACCTGATAGCGATGGGCTCCAACTCACTCGGCTTCCAAAGCCGCCCCCTGTGCCTCCGGTTTGACCTCGCCGTAGGTCCCAGTCACCCCATGCCGTCCTATCAGGCCGGGAACCGCGCGGGGGATCCGACGGGAGCCGAGCTGAGCCGGAGTGGAGAGCGCGCGGAGCTCCAAAAGGGAGTTCACCACACGCACTGTTGGCGCATGCCCCAAAAAACACTCCGGTGTGACCAAAAAGCAGTCCAGTGTCCGGCCTTCGACGTGTTGACTGTCCTACCCCTCCCTTTTTTCCTGCACCACCGTGCAGGCACCCACACAGCCCAGTGAGCAGCTGCAAATGCCGCAGCCGCAGATGCCACAAATTCAGCAGCTGCCTCCGCAGGGAGGACAGATGCTTCAAGGGCAGATACCGCAAGGGCAGCTGCCGCAAGGGCAGATGCCGCAAGGGCAGATGCCCATGCAGCAACTTGGCATTGGCCAGCTGTTTGGCTTTCCTTTGAGGGAGTGACATGTGACATGTGGCCTGAATGATCGGTGAATCAGCCTCCCGAAGAAGCCAATCCTTCGAGAGGTTGGAGAACGACACATGCACAGATTCCATGTTCGTTCGGAAGGAACTCCACTGGACCGAGGATGGTTTTGATGCCGGTGGCGATGGCGCCCATGGGCCAAGGAGCCTTGGCCGTGAGCACCCAACCCTCTATTGGTTCGTATGGCTTTTCTGCCGGGCGATTTTTGGGGAATGGGGCGTCTTCTTTTTGAGTTGTTGCTGGAACAGCAAAGAACAAAGCGCATTGAAGTGGCCTGGCCATAGACTGTATCTCGGGCGCCAAGTGCGAATCCAAGATGTGTTGGGCGCCGTGGTTGTGTGCATCAACGCTACTTCAATAATCTAATCTCTATCATTGATGGGTCCAGAATCCAATGACACAGCTCCGTTTTGTTCCTACTGTTTCCTCAAACGGATCGGTGAATCTCTTCAAATTGGTGAAGCAATCGCCTCCTGCTTTGGATGGGTGGGTTATTTTTTAAATATGTCTTTTGAGTTTTTCAAGACCCATGGTCTTCTTCTTCTTCTTCTTCTTCTTCTTTGAAACGCATTCCTTTTTTGAACAACACCCGTGAATCTCTTCCACACTCGACCAGGCGCTCCCTGCTCCGGGTACGCCGCCCCAGCTCCGGCGCCCGTCCCGGAGCTGCCAGTGCGGCAGCCAGACCGGGGAGCCAGGCATCCAAAACCGGCACTCGAAGCGGAAGAGGGAAGAAGAATTGGAAGGGGAAAAGGCAGCTTTTTTTGAAATACTTTTTCACTTCGGAGCCCACCATGATCTGAACTGGCCTGTTTTTCAGTCCCTAAATCCCTACTGTGTACCGCCTCGTGGATTCAACGTGCCAGGTGGCCAGCGGCAGCGCCGGTCCCTGCGGGGCCCATGCCGCAGAACACGGTGACGGTCCGGGGAACTCGGAAGCGGCGACCGTATCGCTGCTGACCCGTCGGACCGTTGGGGCTCAGATGGTCAGTTCTTGAGTTTTTTTAAATGTAACACACACAATAGGTCGTAATAAGTAAGTAAGTAAGTAAGTAAGTAAGTAAGTAAATAAGTAAGTAAGTAAGTAAGTAAGTAAGTGTCTACTTTTTTAGTGCTCACAAACTGCTTGGACTCTCAGTTTTCGACACTTTTGTATGCTTTTCTTCTTTTTCTCCTTGTTTCTTGTCCCTTTTCTTTGAAGTGTTGCAAGATTTGCCCCGCGGAGGTGACGTCAGCCACTGTCCCATCGCCAATGTCGCAAGGCGATTTTGGGTATGTGCAACGTGAATGACCCAACATGTGTCGCAATGCTTGGCAGAGTTTGATAGGAAGAATGCTTGGCATATGCATTCGAAAACGTGATTCCTACGGGACCTGAGCTCTTTTGGGTCAGTGTTCTGCTTCGAACGACCTTCGAACGACCTTCGAACGACCACCGCTGCCTCGCGCACCAGGACCCCCCCACGGTTCCACAGCCGCAGACGCTCACCAGGGCCTTTAGCCGGAGGCTCAAGGTGTGCGAAATCCGAGGAGCTTGGCCCATCCAGGTGGAGCTTTGATTGTTATGCTATACTGTAAATGAATTGCCATTCTGTAGGCAAATGGCCAAGTCATGCAAGATTCACTCATCTAAAGGCTTGGATCCTGAAAGGATCATTTTTGAATACTTTTTCCAGTCGTAAGTAGTCAGATTCCTGATTGAGCCCAGATACTTTGAGTCTCAAATCCGGAGAAGCCACCAACCGTACTGATAGAAAAACTACCAACCGTAGACGACCAGGTTTCAACATACTACCAGGTTTCATCCAGGTTGTCTTCCTTTTTGGTTCGATTCGGGTTCCTTCTTTACCACTATTTTTTCCCATTATTGATGCAATTTTTCCTATTTTGGATTATTTCCTATGTTTTTCGTTTTTTAGATCACACCCAGTAGTGGAAGCTTAACATCCTCATTACAATACTTGAGGAGCTCTGGCCATCTTTCGTGTGATGCCGATTCCACTAGCCTTTCAGAGGGGCTCAAGCCTTCTTAGCTGATACCATACTTCTTGGTCGCAAAGCCATTTCCCTTGGGCTTGAGACATGGAGATCGTAACACTCTCAGGTGCCACTTCCACTCAGCTTCATGACAAGGAGTTAGGCTGCATGGTGGAGAGTGGAAGACTTTTTGGAGATCTGAAGAAGCTCCTGGCCCGTCGGGTTGGATACTCAAGATTTCGACAAAGACTCTTGAGTGAACACATGGGCGAGCTTCAGGATGATATGCCGGTCAGACCACTATCAATTGTGCAGTTGGTCATATTGGACTTCTGTGCGCCTGAGAAGGGCTCTACTCCTGGCATGCCAGAATGATCGAGTAGTTGAAGTTACGCAGTTGCAGAAACCACTGGATCCCAATAGAGCAGAAATCGACCCTCCACCCCATGTATCGTGCAGCATGGTGCCATTTGGAAGTGGTATGCTTGTTGCTCGAGACTGGAGCTGACACGAATGCAGCAGACATGCATGGGATAGTCGCCTTGATGCTTGCAGCTTGGAATGGCCACTTGGAAGTGGTACGCTTGTTGGTTGAGGCTGGAGCTGACTGAGTGTACGGCAATGGCAAATGGGTCATTTGTGTTGATGGGTGCAGCTCTGAATGGCCACTCGGAAGAGGTTCAATTGTTGTGCTAAGAGAGTGCGATCATGGAATGGCAGCTGCTACACCTCTCGGCTTGGCTACACCTCTCGGTTTGTTCTCGTGACACGAAAGGATCGTGACACGAAAAACAGGGCTTCGGTTGGGCTCCTGGGCCATGTGCAGCTCTGAGTGTTGCCAGTTTATGCTGAAAAGGAGAAGGGTCTCGGTGACGTTCGTCTATGACCGTTCACCGTTCATCACGTAGTAATGGCATCACCGTTCATCACCTGAAACATGAATGGCAGTCACGTGGCTCTTTAGAATGACGCATTTTGAGATAGTCGAATGATCCAACCGTAGCTGTGAGAGTCCCTGCTGGGGGATAGGTGATGATGGGTGTGCTTCACAGTTGCTTGAAGCTTCGTGTTCCGTTCGCGCACAAAGCTTCCAAGGTGTGAAAAGCGGTTTCTTCCGCGTGTTCCTGGGCTGCACGCTGAAGTTGCTCCCGCGAATGCAAGCTCGTTGGTTAGTCTTTCATGCGCCTCACTTATATGAGAGCTTGAAAACCTATACATCCTCTTCTTCTTGAACTGTAAACCGACTCTCCAACATGGACTCTCCAACATGGACTCTCCAATGGCGGAGCGGCCGTGCCTCCCAACCGCGGTGCGGTGCACGGCCAGGCACTGGACCGTGGATGGTCGCAAGCTCCGTGGCAACGAGAAGCAGACGGTGCCCGGGCAGGAAAAACGATGCCGTCTCCGCGTCTCCGGTTTCACCGACTCTTCGACGCAACCCGACGACGCCTCGGAGAGAACCGGTGGAACGATGAAATGGAGTCGAAAAGGAGTCGAAGGAGTCGAAGGAGTCGACGCTGTGAGTTGAGTCTGAATTCTAATAGCTTCTTGTTTCTAATAGCAAACATTGTTACTACTAGTAAGGCACTTGTTACTAGTAGCGATGCACTTGTTCCTAGTAGCTTTTTGTTTGGTTTCGAGGTCTCTCCGCCCTTTGAGCTTTCCTTTGGCCCGAAGTTCCCCTCCGTGACGCCCCCTTGGGCTGCAACTAACCGTGGCGACGTCGACGGACGTGCGACGTGTGGAAGCGTCGCCGACGGTCATGTGGCGGGTCATGTCATGGTTTGAATGACAAAGACCCGACAGGCTCGGTTTGTTGATGTTTGTTGCTGAGTTGGTCTTGTCTTGTGGTGCCCCATGAGGTTCAAGATGATGATCTACCCGGAGATGGTCAATGAGGGCAAAGGTGGCAGCTGCTTCAGGAGATCATTTTGCTCGTGCATACTTCAACGCCGGTGGATGTGTGCCGAACAGTTCCGGATGAACCCCTTTTTGTTCGCTATTGTTAGTCAAGATCTGAGAGGAACATGGCGGAATTTGGGTTTTGCCTTGTATTATCACGGCCGGGCTTCAGCCCTCCTGCTTGTTTCCGCTAATTTTTGTGAGGAAATCCAAAGGACGAGGTTTCTTGGAGTTGCACATGGCACTCTTCCGTTTGGCACTCTTCCGTGTGGCACCTTTGCACAGCCGAACTCGGATTTCTGCCATTTGCTTCCCTTTTAAACCGGAGCCGAACCGCTTCGCACGGCACGCCCAGGCTATGTGCAGATCAAATGCGAAGCCGAGCTTGAGGAGTCTGTGGCGTATCTCGACACCTTTGAGCGATGGCATGACTTGGTCCAGACTTGACTTTTGCAAGACATGTAGACTTAGTTGCATCACAACATAGAAATGCGTGATGATATCCCCGGATCATGAACCCATGACCCAAGGCAAGCATGGACACTCACTACAATAGTCAACAATCAACTACTATAAAATGGGTGTTTGCTGCTTGATTTGCTGGACCTGCAAAAGAACCCTCCCCAGCGACTTTCCGCCCCGTCACTCGCTCAGGTGGGTCTCATTTCGAATCTCCATCGGCAGTGGCAGTAAGACCGTCTCTTGGTCTTTCTTTCATCCGTGGAAGGTCTCGGTTGACGCACCGATCCGTCTCCGTCTCCCGCCCCGACGACGGTCGACGCCCGGAGGTTGGACCTCGGGGGCCGAGATATCACAACTTCTCGCAGAGTGCGGTCACCGGCCTCGAGGACAGAAGATGGGGTGGGGAGGACAGGAAAACGGGTGGGGCAACGGACACGGAAACGGGGCTGTTTGTTGGGGAGTTTCTGGAAGGGTTTGTTGGTTGCACTTCGGCGATTTCTCTTTTGGGAGCTCGGTTCAGCCATCAAAGGGACTTGTGATGTGCACCGCGTTTCTCCTACGGAACTTTTGAGAGCTTATTATAATATATATTGGCAGCGTTTCTCCAAGGAGTTGCAGAAGACTAGTCCACCAGTTTTTGCAGAGAGAAGCGTACCAGGCCAGGCAACATGAACGCGTGCAGTGCAATGCGATGCGTCAGTGACAACGCTGGTCTCCAGACTCGTCGTTCGTCAAGAATTCATCTCCCGCACTGAGGAGGTGACGGATTAGACTGGATTAGATTGGCAGATGACTTGACGTCTTGACGTCTTTGACGTCAGATTTGCTGTTCGTTTTTTTTTTTTTAAAGATTCCATATTTTTTTCCACTTCCATGGGACTTTCTCAGGAGGGCCCAACCAAAGATGAGCATATCTGGGACTTCACCGCAGCCTGGTGGAGAGCAGGGGGAGGAGACGAGACACAACAGGCAACAAATGGGGGAAACAAGGCGACTTGAGTCATAGTGATGCGGCTCAAGTCGCCTACTTTGGGATGTACAAAAGAACTGAAGCGGCTGTCAGTTGGTTTGAATTTCCTGTCACTGACCTCTGTGATGTTTTCTTCTTTCAGTTCCATAGTCCAAAAATCATGATTATGTAAACTTTTTTTGTTTATATTTTGGGGCAAAGCGGATTGGGAGAACTTCCTGAGCTCAGGAAGTTTTGGATGAAGCATCTCAGACATTCGCTGCTTGGGCAATACATGTCAGCCAATTGATTTTGCAAGAGGAAGCAGTCTTTCACACAATTAGTTCGAAGTTCGATGTTTGCATTTTTTTGGGAGAGTCTGAGGTGGTTTGCTTGGAGATTGTACCTGGAGGCAAAGGTCCTGGCAAGTAGCTGTGCAGAATCTAGACCACCCAAATGGGCCTGCTGGAAAGATCCGAAGTAAAGTGCTTTCCTGTTCCTTCCACTCTTTTTGGTGATACAAGAGGACAATTGATCAGTTCCTTCCACTCTTGCAACTGACGTTGACGTTGTTTTTTGCGCGGGGTGACAGGGAAGGTTGGAGGCCCAAATTGGCTCGCTGCCTTGCCGAAATCCTGGGGGAGGCAGTGCTTGAGTGGACCCAGCCCATAGACTCAGCCCAGCAAAGCAGTTTTTTCTTGCATTGATGCATGCAAAAACCAGCTTTTGAGAAGTGCCGTTTTGGGGCTTCTTTGTCTCGCGGCTTCAGTGCGCAGACAGAGCACCGTGCAGATCTTTTCTATTTTTTCAGAAGCTGTTTGCGTTAAAAAGCTTTGCCGGGGGAGGGCTTCTTGCCTAAGAAGCGAGAGAGGTCCGATTTCGGGGGGATCAATCGACGGTGGAGAGGAAGGATGCTTTTTTTTTGTGACTGGAACCAGGCTATACCACAAACAGCTTGTAAAAAGATGTTTCGGTGGTTCCTCCAAAGATCATTGAGACTGCAACAATCTTGGGTCCAAGCGGAATTCTTGCTCCCATTTGACAGACTGACAGACTTGTTTGGTGTGTGCTTAGTAGCTGCTTCCTCCTTTTCGTTGAAGACCCGGAGAGTCTGGGTGCTCCAGGCTGCAGGCTAAGTGGTGGCAAGAAAGAAGCACTTGCTTCGTCCGTCGTCCGGGGAGTCTCAGAGCCTCAGATTAGTGACACATGACCTTGAGCGATCAAGGATCAACAGTAGAAGCTACGAGCCAAAGGATTCCAACGATTCCAAAGAACCCAAGGACTTAGGAGTCTCTCTAACTAGTCAACGAAAGTAAGGGAACATGTCGAGCCAATCCGCCCGGTGATTTTCCGCTGGAAGTCGAGCGGCGCTCTCGGTGCTCGCGCCTGACGCGCTGGCTCTCCAGTCCGGTGAGTGTGCTGTCTGTCGCTTCAGACAGGATTTTTAGAAATCTTCACCTCCGGACATCCGTCGTCTTCCACTCCTCTTTTGCCGGGAGGGGTGGGAGCAGAATGTGTGAGACATCGCAAGTGCACCCGTGCGCACCGCGATACAGACAAACCGCACCATGACACCAGACCAAGCTGGTTGATGTGGGGATCCAGTCTGTGCAAGAGGTTTGTCTTGGGCACAGCCAGCACTACGCGGAGCAGTGCCAATGCAAAGGCACCAGACCTTCAACTGTTTATAGATGGATGCATGGATATCATCGCTTCACAAGCTAGCTCAGCCAGCTCCTTGTTGTGATAGGTTGTTCACCACCCTAGAGAGCTTGAGGTAGTGCCGTTGGTATCCGGGACATCCTGTGTGTATCTGTCAACCGGGCTGTGGAATCTTGCGACGGCGACACTCCTTCTGCCATGCAAGTGATGTTCAATTCCACAACCCACACACCGCGGACCAGACAAGAGACAGTGGTGTTTGGAGCACGGAAAAGTGGTGTTGGATGGTGTTGGTGTCTTGATGGGATGGGACGGTAGATGACTGATCGATGTAGATAGTTTTTGAGACTGCCAGATCTTCAATGACAACTCAGTGGGTGCTGATGTGGAAGCACAGACCCAATCAGATGACATACGATGCACTGCTTTACAGTCGTCCATTGAAAGGTCAGAGTGGTAGTCAACTATTGGTTTTCCACCTACTTTTCATCTGCGTACCTTCTTGTCTTTGATCAATCCCTGGTGCGTTTTCGCTTGGTTTTCGCTCCATGCTGACCGCCTCGTGGTCCCTCGACAGGATCAGCTCATGAACGCCATGCTTCTACGGCGGAACCTCTGCGCCATCACCGACGACCCCAGGCGATGCTCGACACGACGGACGAGACGAAAACCGCTCGGGACGTCGAGACGTCCCTCGCGGCACTGCTGGGTGCCGGATGCGAAAAGAAGCTTCTGCCAGGCTGCGAGGAGCTCAGGTGCAACACGCTCAGTCCTTTAAAGGAGGATCGCAACACGCTCATGTGCTCTCGGGGCGTCCTATGCCCATGCCCATGCGTCCCATGCGGAGGTGGGAAGAGCTTCCCGTGGGCCTCGTCGAGAGCATCTTGCGGCAGGACCCGTTTCGTCCGGTCGTTGGGGCCCCGCGACGACGGTCTCGCCGTACGATGCCCGAGGGTCCGGCGTCCCGTCAGCCGAGATCGAAAGGTGTCCGGTTCTTCGCGCTGCCAGTGGAACAACCTCGCAGGTTCAAGACACAATGGAAACACCGGAGTCACTGCGCGGTTTCTGTGTCCCTTCCCTTCACGTGTTCGGGGCGATCGGTCCCACACCGCGGATCGAGGATGACCTGCCCATTGCCTCCGAGGCGGAGGCGGATGGGCAGCCGGTGGCGTCATGTGGCGATCCAGTCCGAACGTGTCGGTGTTTCACCGAGATCAGTGCGCAACCATCCCTCCGAGTCGGACAAAAAGGTGGACTGTAAGTTTAAAACGTAGCTGCCAAAGCGTCAGACGAGCATAGAAGTGTTCATGCTGCCAATGTGATCAACGCACGTGGTCACATTGTGCAGCTTGAGTTCGTGAGGATTACTCTCTCCTACACGTGAATCCTTCGTCAAATCCACTGGTGCTCCTGGCCTTGGTAGGTCCTCACCCTGATCGCAAAGTGGATTGGGGACAAGAGAAAACAGGAGGCGCGTCGACCAAGTCGCCCATGGCGCATCGTTCTAAGCCAATTGGTTCTCTTAGGACGAGATATTCGGAATGCAGGCAGTTTTTATCCAGGCCATCTGGTGATTTTCAGCCCATGGCAGTTCACTTGCGAAGAGGCGCTTAAGCGCCGTCCCACCGGTGACTCCGCAGGACGTCACCCGGTTGTTGCGGTGTTTTCGCAAGGGCGACAACGTCCGGGCCCGGACGCCTGGAGTGGATGGAGGGGGATGGAGGATGGAGGGGGGTCTGATCGAGGGGATTGTCCACGCTTGGTCTCTAGTTTCCTTGTCCTTCTTCATCTCCTAAAAGTTTGCAGAATAACTTTTGAAGAGAATGGAACACCCAACCTCCCATGTGAGTGCTGTCACCACCCTGATTTCACTGTCTTCGACCCCCGCGTGCTCCGCCCAAGGGCGGTCCACGGCGCGCGCGCGCGCGCGAGGTGCGTATCGCGGACATTGCGGCGCTGATGCAAGCGCTTGGTGGGGACCCAGTGGTCTGGTCGAGCGATGGAGCGATGGAGTGGGGGAAGGATTTGGTGGACCGGACCCCAAGGCGAACGAAGCATGATTTGAATCATGGTCCATGGTCATATCTTCGTGCACATGTTCCATGTGCCCTTTCTTTTCGTGCAGAGAAGCTCCCCAAAGAACGTGAGTTCTGTTTTTTTTCATCGAGCGATTTTTTGTCGGATGCCGACGAAGGCTGGGACATCTTCTCCGACAAGGCGCAGAGCTCGCGAAAGTGCATCATCACTCCGATAGTTAGGGGTGCCGGTTGGCCCAAACAAGTCACTAGAAGAGGTAGATCCAGGTAGGTCATGTTGATCCAGGTAGGTCATGTTAGTCCAGGTAGGTCATGATAGTATTCAGATGACACCGTACTCCAGTGATTTTTGATTTGGCTGGTGATTCCGCACGGTTTTTTGGTTTCGTTCTTTGGCTTCGAATCCCAGAGATTCACGTGGCGTACCGAGCGATCCCCACCCAGCAGCAGAGGTTAAGACTTAAGAGCTTTCTCTCAGTAGGCCCCCCCTGGATGCACTTCAGGACCCTTGTGCAGTGGTGCCGCTCGGGTTCTTGCTTTCCCTTGTGCACTCGTCATCTCTGCATTGTTTGTGAAACCCTTCTCCTTCTCCTCTTTCTCCTCCTTCCTCTTCCTTTCCTCGTCCTTTCCTCCTTCCCTTCCCTTCCCCTTGGTTTGCCATTCCGGCGGACGTGACCCATGGCCCATGAAGCCCAGCTTCTCGTGCCCAGGTGCCCAGGAAGGGCGCTTCCGTGTGGGATCCCAACTTTGCCATTCACCGGGAGGCCCGGCCGGCGCCACGCGGGTCTCGGGCGCATCGCGGGTCCTGGCTTTCCCTTATGGTTCGTTAGCAGATCTTCCCATGGGTTTCTTCATTCAAATGGAGGCCTTCTCCCGTCCAGCTCGTGGCTTTTTCATGTGCTTTCCTCGCCAAGTCGCACCTCTCAGGGTGCTGGCACTGCACAGTCTGGCCCAGAGTCGGAGCACCCAGGGAACGCACCGTCCGACCCGATCCGCCTGAGCGACCCACATCCTACTCCTACGTGGGGTGCTTGTTCCACAAGACGTGAGGAGTAGACTGGTAGCCCTCGGTTAGTTCAAGTCCCAACCTTGGAGATTAGCGAGTTGAGAACCCCCTTGGAAAGATGCACCCTTTTCATATTTGGTTCCATTGCAATTGAACCGATCGAACATGCATGGGGCGAAGCGCCGCATCTGCACGAACTTCACCCAGGTCCGGTGAGCGGAAGGAAGGGAACAATGTAGAGATTATCCACCAAATGGGTCCGGAAGCTGAGAGCACGCAGCGCAGCGCAGCCGAAGAAAAAGAACATGGGGGGGGGAGAGGGCAGACCATCAGTCGACTGACGGTGATTCAGATGAGGATGAGAGGATGACTGGAGTTTTTTTGTTGGCGGATCGTGCAGGTTTTTGCTTCTGAAAGCGTCAGGTGACACAATGCAGATATGGGCGCGCGGCGTGTTTCGAAGGTGAGACATGCGCATGACAGAACAGAACAAAAGTCTTGATGAGGTGGAATGTCTCACCTGAAAAAAACAACGATTTTCCAGTGTGCGAATGATCTGTCAGATGCTCTCTCATTTCGACTCCTTGAGGAATCAGACCTCAATGGAACCAAACCATTTGAAGAGTCAAGACACCGAATGAGGCCCCAAAGACTTGATGCAGCAGGAACCTGGCTGGGCATATCCAGGCGCATGGAACTTCATGTGCCATGCTGTGGCCATAAGCAGATTGGGTGTAGTTCACAGTTCACATGCTCCATTTATTTTGGCTAAGAAGCTTCGACTGCAGCACAAAAGCTCGACCTGAACACAGCCGTCACGGCCAGACCGTCATGGTGATGTCACCTCCGTCTCAGAACCTTCGCTCCGCAACTCGAACGGCGAACGGGCGGTTACGAACCGCGCTTCGCTCGCGGTTCGTCGCTCCCGGTGAGGCGCGCATCGGTGCCGGGTTACCTTGACGTCCACCAGCTGGTCGCACCGGGAGCGACGCCTCCTGCGCGGCGGTCCGGGTCAGGCGCGGGTGTGGTGCGTCGAAGGGGCAGATTGCTGGGTCCATTGGGTCTCAGGCAGCAGAAGCAGTTTGAAGATGTTGCCGGACGACATAGTCACAGTCCCATGGCGAGACTGTGTGACATCTTGAGGCAGCTGCTTTACAGAAGCGAGCCTTTGAGTCAAGGGCTCAGAGCTCTGAGCAAGCAGGTCCTACTCAATCACTTTCACTGAGAAGGCGATGGTCGTATGCAACATACCAAAATCAGGTCTCTTTCGTCAGAATCCCGTGCCTCTTCCAGGGCCCCCAAACCTTGGGGTAGATTTCGGGCGATTTCCGAAGCCAACGAAAGCCCAGAAAAGCCATAGGAGACCACACGACGTGTGACTCACCCATGTGACAGAGACGGGTGCGGTTTCTGCCGTTGAGGTACAGTCCGTCAAAGCCAGCGGAACGAAGTCCTTCACCGCCGCCATCTTTGCAGGTGGCCAATCGTAAAGAGGAAAGCAGGGCCGGAAAGCGGCATGTGTCTTGTTTATGTCGAAAGCTTCAAAAGGAGCCTGCTGGGGTTCGTTTGATCTATTATGGTAAGTTGATGTAAATGGTAAGTTTAAACTTTAAACATATCTTGGCATGATCGCGAACATCCACATCATCTTGATCAAAGGATCTTGTTGGGCACTAAGTCACCAAATCCATTTGTGTCTTCAACATTCTTCCATGGCTGGTCTCACAGTCCAAGGTCTCACAGTGAAGTCAAGCGTGTTGATCCACAAACGGCCCACACGATCCGAGATCCGTTCCTTCGCCGCCGTTGGCCCAGGTTCGGCGGCCACCGGTGGACACCTTTGAGACCTTTGACATTGCCCCCATGTGTGGAACCTGGCTTTCTCGCGAATCGCCAGGCTGGTCAGTCCTGCATGACATATGACATGGCCCCTATGTCCTGGTCATTCACCAGAAACGATCCCAAATGGAGAGTTTCCTTTTTTTCAGATAGGTTTTCAATGGTTTTCAGATCATGCTCAACGACCCACCACTGCGGGCCGGGGACCGGTCGACCGAGGTCTGACGGATCGGAGCAGTCCTTTCTGGGTGGCGCCGTGATCCGAAACTTGACGCAGGAGATCGGAAAAGAGTGACCAGCAGTCTGGAGATCGTGCGTGTTGTTTTTTTGTTGGAAAAACACGACCTCCAGATGTTTTGGACAGTTTCGAAAAAGGGTTGGATCTCGCGTGCTAGTGCCACAAAATCCAATTGTCAATGCAGGGCGAAACGAACCAGCGAAGCTGCGCTTGCTAAATCTTATCCATTCGGGTCTATTTGCAGGGCAAGCGGTCAATGCTTTTTTCAGGACAAGATTGACCACGAGCTGGTGGATCATCAAGTCATTTGTGGCGTGTCGACGGTCTCAGAGCCACAAAACGTTGCCAAAGCCGCTTCATTCAAACGAACCCAAGTCACTGTGATGTCTTTAGATGCGATCCACATCAGCCTGATTCTTTTCTCAAAATGTTTCCCTCAAGATTCATCTGACCTGTGCGCATGTCGCTGCACCAGGTCCAGCGGATATCAGAGACACGGCATGAGGATCTCTCAATGCGACAAGAAAGCCATCTACTTGGTGGAGGCCATCTCTCGAGCCTTGCTCGTTTCTTTATCCTTTGCACCCCAACTTCAGAACGTGGCCGTGGATGTTGTGACAGCTGTGCTACGAATCAGAAGTGTATGACAGACTGTTTGAAGCTTTCCTGCACGTTTCGCCCACGCCGGCGGCCTGGGCGGTTGAACCCGAACCCGTTTGGGGACTTCCGGGGACTTCCGGGGACTTCCGGTCCTTTGCACTCCGCCTTCGCGACCATGAGGCTTTCGGAGGGTTCGGAGAGGTTTTAATCCGGTGGGTCATTGACGAAAGTGGTGTGCCATTTAGGTGTGGCATGAGGGGAGGAAAAGGTTGCCCTTTTGTCATGGCAAACGAGAACCCTTCCGAAGCATGAAGCAGACCCTCACTTGGGTGTTCCAAGCGCCGGTTTCAGCTTACACCACTACTTGGGACGACCTTCGATCAGTCCCATCAAGACTCTATTTGAGAAGGCCAGGGGGGCCAGGGGCGGCCAGGGCGAGATTCTTCGTGCCATCCCTGCATCTCGTGGATCGAAAAGAGGTGACAGTTCAAGTCTTGTCGAAGCCGCCCAGATGTTCGTATCAACCATGGGGGCCATTTCAGCACCGGCACCCGTCATATTTTCGTCAGTCAGCCTTGCAGTGCTATCCCCCAATCAGCACTTCAACTAGCACATGGTTTGGTGCCACATCCGTGTGCCAAGGACCCAAGCCAATCGACTCCACGGCCCACCCCGGGCTCGGCCGTCGACGAGCCGTCAGCCCACCCCACGACGGACGCGACGGGGCGGCGCCATGGGCTGTGGCGCCTCCGGCTTACGACCCTTCGCCGAAGCCTTCGAGCTACAAGAGGTGGTCGGGAAGGCGGCGGGTTTACGTGCGGTGGAGGGAGGCGGCAAGTGGGCAGAGGAGGGCAGAGGGGCAACAGGGTCGTTCTGTCGTTTTTCCTCGGGAGGGTCGTGTTTGGTCCGTCCTCGCGACCTTTTGGGCTTCGACCTGGTCTTTGGGAATTGGAAAGCGTGACTTCTGAGGAAGGAATTGGGGGGAACCACTGCCGATCCAGACCCTCCTCCATGCCAAGACAGTCCCTAAAGAAAGATAAGAAAGTTCATCAGACCACTTCTTGTTGGAAAGAACAGTCGGGCAAATCGTTGAGACCACCAGCGACAGGAGCAAACTTTTCCAAGAGCTCCTTTTCCAAGTGACAATGTGGGTCTGTCGACTCAAAGAGCGAGCCTCCCTGTTTCGAGCGGCTCGGCGCCCGGCTCGGCAACTCTCGAGTCCCACAGGCACAGAACCCGAAGAAAAAGACGAATCCGTTTGGGTTAGATTCGGTTGGATGTTTTGTCACCATCGACCGATGTGAATTTATGGTTCCACGGAGCAGACATCGAGCTCAAATGCTACATCGCAACCAGCGTAGAGAAACGGCAGGAAGGAGCTGCGTGGTCGCCACAGCCGGAAGATGTCTGAAGCCTTGGTCCGAAGGTGCCGAGGCACTGGTTCTTGTCGTCCGCGCTAGTCTTCGTCCGCTGCGAGGCACTCCATGGGCGCCAGGTAAATCCGCTGTCGGAAGCCGCGTGCGGTCAAGGGCCTTCCAGCACGTTCTCGCAAGCAGCTTCGTGGCTAGCCCTCCGCAGCTCAACAGAGCGGGCCAAGCAGTGTTGAGCGTACCGACCTCCTAGCGGTGTTGTGAGCAGGCACGGTTTCCATGGGTTTCCTGTGCCGGTGCAGCTGGAGAGGATTCTTCTCAGCCAAGTTTTTCTGGCCGTGTCCACGTCCTTGTGCTCATGTGGCAACCCGCCCCCATGTGCTCCTGCCAGGGCAGATTTGGTGAGGTTTATGCTGCAGTAGAGAGAGCCTCTAGAGACGCCAGGTTGCACAAGCACTTGCAAAGCGTTGTTTCACACTTCGGTCAATAACCTAGAGCGACGGTCAGGCAGGTGCTGGGGTCAATTTCATTTGAGCAGTCTGTTCCAAGAGTAGTCAAAGTGCAGTTCTTGTCTGTGCAGTCGTCGCATCCTTTGATTAGCGACAGGTCCTTTTTTTCTTAAAAAGGACACGCGACTTGTAACACTCAAAATGGTTTCCTTCGTGCCCCCGTCCAAGGAACCCTATGCAGTCCGGCTCCTTCCGAATGCGGCGAGGGCTGAATTGCTGCGAGAAGCGAAGCTGTGGAAGAGCGTCGCAGACAGCAAGCCCCTTGGCAGCTTCCCAAGGCTCCCGCGGCTCCGCGTGGGGCCCACACTAGGCCACCAGCCGGGCGTTTGGAGTCCGAAGGTCTGAAGGTCCGACAGGTTGAAAGCGGAGAAAGGTTGGAGTCAGTACGACGAATCACCGAGCAGGTCAGACGACAGACTTCAACTTGTCGTGATCAAATTGCAAGTAACGGCCAGGGTTGTTCCGGTGGGCATGTCCGCCTTTGACCCTTTGATTCTACTTTGTATATCTTTGTATGTGTTGTTGGGGGTTCCTGATCGGAGAATCTCTTCCTGCACTGGCTCCACAAGAACCGTCCCGGTGGTTCAGTAAACAGTGTTTCTTTCGATCGGTTGTAGCTCTCCTCAGCGACATGACGCTTGAAAGCCAAGAAACTGGCTTCACACATATCACGAAAGGTAGCCCTTTAGGGGATACCTTGAGTTTGTCTTGCGAAGCAAGTGTTGGGACGTCCGGGTCTAATAATTGATCGCTCAATTCAGACCCCCCCCC